GCCATCAACTGGGGGTCTTGGAATATATGCCCTGCAGATAAGGGGCACTGCTGTAGTTCGCTAGGTCTGTCATAACAAAGTACCACAGACTGAGTGGCTTAAAAAACAGAAATGTATTTTCTTACAATTCTGGAGGCTAGAAATAAAATCAAAGTTTTGGCAGTGTTGGATTGTTCTCAGGGCTGGGAGCTAAGAGCATATTCCTGGCGTTTCTCCTCAGTTTAAAGATGGCCGTCTTCTCCCTATATCTTTACATGTTCTTCCTGTTTTGAATGTGTCAATGTGTCGTGTCCTTATCTTGTCTCTTAAGGGCACCAGTCATACTGGATTAGGGCCCACCCTAGTGACCTCATTTAAGTTACCACTTGAACGACCCTGCTTTAAATACGGTTACATTTTTAGGCACTAGGGGTTAGCACTTCAACATGAATTTGAAGGAGGGTACAATTCGGCCCATAACAAAAATTATTTGGTAAGTTCTTTTTTGTTACTAAAATCAACTACTTTGTTCAAATGCATTTTAAACAATCCTGCCATGAGCCTTTTAAAATTTCTGCCTCCTTATTTTTCTGTCACCAGAAAATCATCAATGCCTGAGAAATGGGGGGCATTCCAAAGCCACAGATTGATCTGAAATGCAGAAAGATGCCAGACCTACACAGTTGGAACTGCCATAATTCTTTTAACTCAGGCATGATAAATAGTCAAACTCTGTGTACAGGAACTAATGGTAAACAACACTGGTGTAGGTAATGCAAGTTCCAGTCCAGCCTGGGCAACATAGCAAGACTTCCTCTCTAGAAATAATAACAAACAAAACAAGTAAAAAAGAAACTTATTTAATACCTATAGAACATCATAGCTTAGCCTAGCTTACCTTAAAAGTGCTCAAAACTTATATTAGCTTACAATTGAGCAAAATCATCTAACACAATGCCTATTTAATGATAAAGTGTTGAATATCTTAGATAATTTATTGAATACTATACTGAAAATGAAAAACAGAATGATTGTATAGGTACTCACTCAAAGTTTGGTTTCTAATGAGTTAATATTGCTTACACACCATTGTAAAGTAAAAAAAAAATCATAAGTTGAATCCGTAAAAAAATTGGGGACTGTCTGTTTATATTTGTAGATAATTTCCCTTGTGTTTTCATCGTTGCCACTATAGGATTTAAGTGCTGCAGAAAAGGAATACTCTTTTTCCAGGTGGGGAACTATGAAGACAGTCTAAGAACAGATTGTCACTCCTTTGATTTTCTTTTTTAATTGAGGGACATGACTGAGAAGCAAATGTCTCTTATTAAACAAAAAAAAAAAAAAGGGGGGGGAGGCTTGGATCACCCAGAATGCACACTGAGCCAAGCATCTGGGTAAGAAAAAAGACAGGAGGCCCTAAACTCCTGAGGAGACCTGGTAGATCATCCTAAACAGGGATTTGGGAAACCCCCCAACTGAGAACTGCAATTTGAGAGAGAAAGCTAAAAAGTTTCTCTTAATTGCCATTTGTTACAGAATTCTTTCAGTGCCCTTATGGTAAACAAACTTTCTTCATTTGTCCGAGACTGAGGGCTTTCCTGAGATGTGGGATTTTCAGTGCTAAAGCCAGAGAAGTTTCAGGCAAACCAAAACAGTTGGCCACCATAAGTACAAAACACTGAAGTCTCCGTTAAAAGTGGCAACTGGGAAAGATAACACCCTGTCATTATCATGAACTGTGTGCCATAGCTTAAATAATCACCATATTAAGCCTATCATAAGAAAGGGACATGAGATATTTTTATAGAAGAAGAGAATCATGGAAAGTACCCAGAATAGGCAAAACTTAAAGTAAAAGTTGATAGGGAGAGATGCTGAGAACAAACAGGCTGAGGACCAGACCTGATGCAACTCACGCCATTCTGATGTGGCTAATTCTTGCAAGCGTATCCATAAGTTTGTTACTCAATGACCAGTTTCTCTGACTGCAAAACACTGAATTATTAACTTCATTCCATCAAAAAATAAATACAGCAGTGAAAACAATTTACAACTTTAAATGAACCTAACAGCTAGTTTACAGGAAGGATAAAGTGTTTCTTTTAATTTATGGAAACTAGTATTAGGATTGTTTATCTGCACAGTAAATTTAAAATACAGCGATAGCTTTAACTTACAAGAGGGAGAGGAAGGGAGAAAGCTGAGTGTTTAACTTTTCGATGTTTGCAAAGGGTCTTTGGAAATTCTGCTCCAGATTTCCCAGAACATGACAGTGACTTAACATGTATACAGGTTTTTCAGTTACCAAACAACCCATCAATTAGCATTTATGGAACATTAATTTGTGTCAGCCAGGTACCGTAAGTGTGAGCAATGATCCAGATACATTTAAATGGGAATTGATTGTTTTATTTATGGTAATCCAGTCAATGTTAGGCTCTTCTTTCTCTGCTTTTGTTTTCCATCTCTTCCTCTTTCCCCTTACTTTTCTCTTTCTCCTTTTCTTTTTTCTCATTGGCAAGTTAAATAAATAAATAAATAAATAAATCAGAGGGATAGACCTATTATTCTTAGAACAATAGATGAAGTTACTACTTCTGAGAAAACAATGCTAATTGTATATCTATTCTTAACAAAGCACTATGCTTGGCACAAGACACAGAAAATCTTTCATTTTTTAAGGCCATTTTCAATCACGTGGAGGAGCTAGACAAATATTTATTGACATGGCATAAAATATAATTGGTCAACAGTTATTGAATTCAGATGTAGAGAGGCCTTGAATCAATTCTTTCTATAATAAAGGATTTCCAAAACATTAAACATGAAATGTAGTGAGATCTCTTGTCATCGTTACAACAATTAAGTCCTGTGGCTTCCTTTGTAGTTTTGTGGCATAATAACAGACATGTTTTTGTTAACTGCAAATAGTTCTTTTTTATATTTACCTTAGCTAGATTAAAACCTAATTTGACAGTTAATTTCAACTATTGCACATAGTAAAAACAGCAGACTTGAAGATTTCTTCTTTCTGGACTACCTGCTTCTTAAGTTCCATTTTCCTGTGTCCTGGGATTGCAGAGTAAGCAAAATCAACAAGCTTTCCTGCCTTCTCAACCTTATTTGTACATTGATAGCTTCTGTATTATTTAGGACCCAAAACACCTTCAAATGGAAAGTTTTTAAAATCCTATGCAAGATTTCTTATTAAATATTACAATGACAACTACATTAATGCACTCCTTGATTCCTTGAGGGCAAAGAGCACTTGGAACACAACATTTAAAGCTCTGGGTGAATTCAGGAATCTATCAGTAAGTCCTGACTCAACAGAATTAGCTCATGTTTACGGGCAGGGCTCTTACATTAATAAAGGAGGTTTTATTTCCAAAACATTCCAGTGTTTAAAAAAGTCTTAGAAAAACTACAACCCTGACTAAACAGTGGTCAAGTAGAAATAATTCTATCACTGAGTACTTCACACAAGAAAAGACCTTGAGAGAGGTCCAATTATAATTAACTATGAAGATTTGACTTAGAGTTGTTCTTGTCTTCAGAAAAAATGAAATAAACATTGTATTGTTTGGGATTATAAAAAATGAGTGTTTTCTGGATATCGGATAAAGTAGTTGGCAGGAATTCTTGAAGTATGGAAGGTCAATATCCTAAAACATCCTAACCAATATAAACATCCTAACCAGTAAAACTATAGACTATTAAAATACATCTGTGAAAGGATTATCTAAAATTATATATTACATAGAATTAGATAAAATGGCCCATTCCAATCAGTCTGCATATTGCAGCAAATTTTAAACAGAAATCTGCAATAGGATAGATTTTTATTGTTTTTGTCTATTTTTATGAACAATGTAATTTTCCGCATTAAACATACTTTTCATTGTTTGAAGTGCTTTATTGAAAAAGTTTAATAGAATACCTACTTTGAAATCTTGTTATTGTTGCTATGTTTTCTTTTGGCAGTAATAATGGATTGCATTTATCTATTTATGCTTCTTTTCTGGAGGCCTCTGGATGAATAGTATGATTTTCCTAGATGATTCGATAATCTCACTGGTGAAGCAATTTGTGTGATTATGAATCACATTCATACTGGGTATAACTTTCAGAACCAATTGGCCCAGAAAATATTTAGTAACTCATTGGAAGCCCCATGCATAAATCAGGAAATCTTAGAATTAAACCCAACTGATGGTTATACAAATTTTAACAGCCTGCATACTGAAAACTCACCACCCAGAAAGGGCATTCCATTTTTGAACAATTCTTCTTTTATGAAGTTCTATCTGTACTTGAGCCCGAATCTGATTTTTGTACCTTATTCATCATTTAATAAATGCTGACTGAGTGCCTATTATATACCATAAATGCTGAAGATAAAATGATATGATATATTTCCTCTTCTCATGGATTTTGCTCTCAGTGGGAGGAAACTATTTCACTAATGACCTTCTACATGTACTTCCTTCAGATGTTTGGAGATAACAATCATTCCCTCAAAACTTTAAAACATTTCTTCACTAGGCTGCACACCCTAAGTCCCCTCATTTAAAATAAAGAATTTTTCAGATTCTTTACTGCATGTTACTTCCATAGTGGTTTGCCTATGTTCCTCTTCAGGTAGCTGCCCCACTAGTGCTAAACCTTGATGAGGTCTGTCTAGAGCACATTTACCCATTCAGTCACTTATCTGAAAAACTTATTTGGCATCTGTTACAGGTCAGGCAAATATGAATATGCCCATGATTTCTGTCATTGAGTTTATGTTCTAAAGGAAGTCTCAAAATGATTGAACAAGACGATTGCTTCTCTAAGTGTGGGCAACCTAGTCCTGTTAATTCAGCCTATGCTTTGTAGATAAGGAAATGGATCTTAATGGGTTTGTGACTCAAATTTTTCTTATATGCTAGTTTAAGGAGTTGTGGCCCCAGGCATAGGCCCAAATACAACAAAATTCACTGAAATAAGCAAATAATCTGCAACTTAGAAATAATACAAGTTGCAAAATAATCAGTTTTTAATAGGTAGAGTGGAATGATTGCAATGTAAACCTCTTCAGGGTTGTGGTAAGCTAAATTGATAAACTTATAATCAGCATTAGTTTGAAAATAGGAAAGTCTATACAAATATTTATGGTAGAACCAAGTAGACTTACATGTTGTCATCATTGTTAATAACATTTTGTTTTGTTTCTTCCTTCTCCTCTCAAGTAATGACAGCTTCTGAATCTGGAACACAGTGCTAACATTGATATCTCAGAACTAAATGTCCCTTCTCTGTCCTCTTAGGGTTCTTTAAACTGGTAGAAGTTTCTTCCCTACCTTGTCTTCTGTGTTAAGCCTCTCTACTTTGAGAATAATTCACACTTATTCTACAAAAGAGTAATCACAGTAGTTTTTCATTTGTTCACCTATGCATCTACTCATTTTATTCATTAAATTTTTAAAAATGAATTTAGTACTTGGTCCATGTTTGGAATTCAGTTAATTTTTGTGACACGAGTGAATAAATGAATGAGGACGTAATCAATTAAGCACATTTCTTTGTAGATTATAATATTCATTTGCTTAGTAGACAAGAACAAGAAAAGGGTTTTTTTGATCTTTTTTTTTTTTTGCCACTGAAGGAAGCTATAAATCTGTAATAGGTGATGCTGGCAGTGTCAGGAACATCACAAAGGGTATCATCCAATGAGTGGCAGGCTGGTTGTATTGCTGACATAATTCTGGCTTCTCCTGTGGCTAATAAGTGCCATGATGATATACCTGTAACAAAGCCAAGGGGTCACAGTAAGTTATTTGATAAATTTTAATGTTCCTTTGAGTCTATCTCATGATTATTTTGAAAATGCTTCATATGCCACATAATATGTATCAGTATTGGCTGGCTTTTGTGTTTGTACCCTTGCCACCATGAGATCTGCTTTTAGCTCAAGCACCATTTGAGAATGGCTCTTCCCATAAGAGATCCATGCTCCTCCAACTTCCCAGCATGTTGGAGAAAAAGGTACAGGCGCTCAGGTTGGCACGCAGTGTTTCCAAATTGATAGAATAGGCAGATGTCATTTCCAGGGTGATAAATTCATAGGCAGCCAAGGTTTTGCAAGATGAAAAGAGCTTATAGACATTTATTGGTAAATGTTATTGCATACATTTTGGGGAACTGTATAAACAGAGATTGAAAAGTAAGGATCCAGACACAGATAAAGTTTCATTCCTCAAAGGGAAGAGAACAACGTGAGAAAACAGAAGCCAGATGAGAAGGAATTTGGGTGGGACTAAGCAGAGGCTTACCTTCATTACTGGTTATCACTAGCACCTTAGTAAGAAGAAACTGGGAACTGTAGAATGATTTCATAAACCTGGTAGAAGCAGTTGCAAGGATATAGTTTTATGCCATATTTGCGGTGGCATACTATGATTACTGTGAGTGTGGTAGGATGACTTTTCTAACCCTCCTCACAACCCGTTCCAGAAACTTAACTTTCTCCTAGAATATGTTGTATATAAAAGTTTAAATAATAAGAAAGGGTTATTTTATCATTTATCATTACACTGAAGAACTGATAAACATAATCCATGCAACAATACATACAAGATCTGATGGCAAGAGGGTACTTATATTTCATGGAAAATGTTTGATTACCCTTTCGACAGTGTGCCTGGAGGCAAGCCCATATAGAACTTCCTCCTTTTCAATGCTCAGAATCTAAAGCTTCTGGGTCCATATCATCACCAAAAGCTGTGGTATAGAGGATGACTAACAAGCCATGATGCAAAGCCAAACAAAAGAAGAAGCAGGGCGTTGGTGGAGAGTGACTGGGCACCAAGGTTGAGGGTCTTTGGATGAGGAAGGAGAGAACTCAGTATCCCTCGTGATGCTTTAGCCTGATTGCAGGGTTGGCCATTTGGCATACTTGAAATATCCATGACTAATTTTCTTTGTTGTTGGAATAGTTTGCTAGGGTTGCCATAACAAGGTACCAAAGACTAGGTGGCTTAATCAACAAAATTTATCTTCTTACAGTTCTGAAGGTAGAAATCCAAAATCGAGGCATTGGTTTCTTCTAAGGTTTCTCTCTCTGATTTGCAGATGGCTTTCCTCTTGATGCCTCTTCACATAGTTGACCCTTTGTGCACTCACATCCCTGGCATTTCTTCCTCTTCTCTGAAGTATTCTAGTCAGATTGGATTAGGACCACATTTTAACTTAATTATCTCTTTATAAACCTTATTTCCAAAATGCAGTTAAATTCTGAAGTAGTAAGAATTGGGACTTCAAATTATGAATTTGGCGGGGACACAATTCCACATACAACATTGCCCTGTATGGCATTCAGGAGACAAGTTGAATACTCCAGAGGAGATATGCCCAGATCCCGGAACACTCTCCAGGCATGGAGTATGTTTATATGGCTTAGAAACAGAACATTTATTATGCACCATGCCCAACTTTGCTCCTGTCAGGGACATGTGGCTGGAGTTACAGGAGCACACACAGAATTGCCAGTCCTAAGTGTAGATTATAGCAAGTTCACCAATCTTCTGTTGTCTTCATGCAATTCTGAATTCTACATTTTTCCAGATACTGTAACAGATATTTAGGTTGGTTGACTCTATTTTTAATGTTTCATCAAAATGTCTACAGCCAAGAGGATGGTTTTGGATATAGAGAACAATGTCTTCATAAGACCTATTTCTCGAGTGGGCTATGCATTTACCATTTTGGTTTGGCATTGTGAAATGCAAGAGTCTATCTGGTTTTTTTTGCAGCACTCTATAATGAATGCTATTTGTGAAAACAGAAGCAAATTAAAAGGCTAGTAGTCTACATGTCACTCATTTTTAAGCCTCTTACAGTTGTGAAAGTCACATGAAGTAATGTAAGCAAAAATGATTTACAAAACTGTTAAGTGACATACGCACGTGTATTATCACTTTGTAGTTATTTTGGCTCCAGTAGCGAGGCTCCTGGAGTTCCTCTAGTATTGAGATGAGTTATAAACCAGTACTCTTATTGTTATCTGTAACTTCAGACTTACAAGCCTTAATAGGACTAATAAGATATATATCTTTTTACTTGAAAAATGCATACTATACATTTTATATGGGTTGATAACAGAGTCCTGGAGAAACATCACTCCAGAAGCCACCAAGTTATTACTTATGATTGCTTATGTTCTAGTCACACGAAATAGGTACAGAAAATGAAAAATTTGTGTCAAAAGGAATAACATGCCTTGGGGAGTTATTTTATGAGGCTAAAATCATGAATAATGCAACAAGTCAGAAACGCAAAATAATTTGTAGTTAATAGGAGGATGTTTGCAAAAGAGCTCCGGTGACAGATGGGGCCTTGTTAGGAGGCTTTGTTGGGTGATAGAATTTCGGGAGAAAGAAAGAGGAGGTTCCACTGGCATTTTCTCAGGCTAAAACTCAGAGCTGGGCTGAAAGAAGATAAAAGAAGATAAAGAGGATTTGTAAGCACAGGAGAGTAAGACAAGCGGGGACAGGAGTACTGGAAAGGCCAAAGCAGCGGATGGGCAATAGCCCCAGTGGCTCAGCAGGACTAAAATCCAAGAGTATTTGGAATTCTTTACCCTTTCATATGTTTTTGTTTGCTAAAGGGGCTTTAAACCATATGTAGCAAAGTATTAATATGTGTTTAATCGAGTTATTTTTGTACATGGATACTTGCATTAACAGTAGTATATTCCATACTTTTCTGTATGTTTGTTTTATCTAAGCAAATATGAATTAAAAATTAAAGCCTAAACCCCTGTTTTCTGCTAAGATCTTCCTCATTAAGCAGAATCTCATATCACTCACAACTAATATTTTCATTTAGTAGTTGAGAAATATTCTTTCATCTGACATTAAGAGGTAAGGATGCTATTTTTAAGACAATACATTATGATGTATTACTATTTTATAAAGGACAACTCATATGCCATGTAGAAAGTATGCAAGAGACTGAGGAACTCTGAAAGTGCTACAGTTTTCCTCTAAAACATTAAAATTGCACAAAACTTACATAAATGAATTACTTCTCTTACAGAGAGGTATGTTGTAGTCAAACAGTTTTGAAGTAGGATCAGAAAACTGGGTTCTAGCTCAGGTCTGCTGGTAATTGTTTAACCATGGGCAAGCCGAGCCAGTTAACTTTTCTGGTTCTTCCGTTCTTTATTTACAAAATGTAGAAGATAGTCTTTCTAGCTCTGAGTGTTTTCAGTAGGTGGTAGAGTAGCAGAGTGTTAAGGAAGTAGGTTCAGAAGTCAGACTGGGGCATGTAAGAGCCTTTACAGTCCCTATCTTACAGGCTGTTTATGAAAAATTTGTAAAATAAAACAAACACAGCCCTATAAACAGTGCCTCCCAAATATAAAAAGGCTCAGCTCTTTTAATTGCTGTTTTAGAGAGTTGTGATTCAGTATACTTAGAACTATGCTAGGCTTGTGAAAGATTATAACACCAAATACGTTGTTTTTGTTTATCACTTGTATTTTTCCACTATTTTATTGCATCCCAGAATTAAAAAGAGATATAATAAGTATAGTACATACAATAATTGCTAATCCATATAGTCTCTAAGAAAAGTGGGATGGTGAGTTTCATCCTCAGTCTAGAAGAGGAGCTTAGGCATGAGACGCGCCAGTGATGTGGCTTGGACTATGTCTAAAAGGACTTAATGAATAAGGTGGAAAACTAGCTAAGTCTTAGTGGCCATTCTTAGTCTCTTCTCAGTTGTCAGTGCTAATTATTGAAATGGAATAACAAAGTCCTAAGTAATTTCACCACTAACAAGGAGAGTTCCGGGTTATCGGAAGAATCTGCCTTAATTCTTTACATCCTGGGGCATGGATTGATAAGTTATTTCTTAAGCAGGAAGTTTATGTACCAAAATTTGCATTCCTCTACTTAAAAGCATGAATTCCATTTCTTTCTAAGCTCAAATACTGTTTCCAAACAAGCTGTTTGTAATCTTCTTTGCCAGGAATTCCTCTGCATCCTCATCACTTTTCTCTTGCCCAGTGAGGCAATGCACTTGGTTTTGTGCATCTTACATTGAACCAGGAGGAGAATTCAGCTCTCATCAACAAAAAGGAAGTCAGCCTTGTGCAGAGGCTTGTGTCACTGTCTAGAACTGTCAATGCCTTCCCCCTAGAGGAAAGGCGGCTTCTCTTAGAGAGCTAAACATTAAATTAGATCCTTCTAGAAATCAGGCTCTGGAAGAGTTTATTTCGAGTTTCTGGCTAACTGAGCAATGTGGTGAACTGCAGTGAGCGAAGTTTCCCAGGCAAGTGGATCTAGGTTGGCTCTGCCGCCTGCAAGCTGCTGAGATTACTGTGGCAAATTACTTACCTTCCCTGAGACTATTTGCTTTTTGTAAAATTGGAACAAAAGTGAACCTACCTTATCGGGTTATTGCAAGGATTAACCAATGATAGTTCATGTATAGTACTTAGCAAACTAACCAATCAAATAAGAATTACTTATGTGCGTGTTGCCATAATTTGGTATATCTATATTAGTTCCCATCCCTTTGCTCTGTCTTCTCTTTCCAAAAAGTAAACCACGGTGTTTTAAAATAGTGATATTAATGTTTTATATTTATTCTCTAGAAAATATAAAGAGAAAATTCAATATAATCTAAAATATATTGAGATATACTGACTCTTCAAATTCAGTATAATCTCAAACAGTAGATATAAAACTCAAAATTCTATTTGGTCAAGAAAGAGAAGACTAGTATGCAGAGAATAGGA